ACGACTCACGACTCACGACTCACGACTCACGACTCACGACTCACGACTCACGATTCAGAAAAAATGATGCAAGTTAAACAAAAGAAAACGATGGAGCAAGAAGTGTATTTTAGGATAGTATTCATTGTTTTTTGACCTTACACGGTGAAAATAATTTGTAAAAAAGCTTCAACTTCTTACATAACCCTCAAAGACAGTTCGCCAATTTGGCCGATTCACACGTAGTCGCCGTAATTTTTCACTAATCATTATGGTGACCCGAACGGTCGCAGTTTACAGCGCTGTAGAGTGGTTGTGATTCATACATAACAGTGCACGGTTCTGAGTAACTGATAGAAGGCCTTTTTATCGTCAGGGCGCTTTTGATGCTGTGAGGAGACTTCTCTCTGGAGCTGAGAGTTCGAAGATGAATTTGATTGAAAAATCCGACATGTTCTTTTGTGATTACTCCATGATGCCTCTTTTTATGCAAGAAAATTACCTCATGGTTGACCCAAGTCAGAGCCGGTGAGTTGAGAACTCAGTACTTTCCAAAAGTAATACTGGATATCCTGCTTTTTCTTCGCTTCACTTCGCTTCGTGATTGGTCCAGAAAACTCACACTATCCTCTCAACCAATCAGATTTAAAACTTAAACTTATCGCGACTTGGTCGCCCGCGTTTTCCCGCGCTTTGAGCGGGATAGTAGCGAAGGATTGAGAAAACGAGGAGGGTTTGGGTCGGGTCTGGTCGGGACCCGAACCCGACCCAAGCCTCACTCGTTTTTGCTCTAATCGCGCCGTTTTCTATTTCGCTCCGTTGTGCTAACTGAGCCTGGAGCAAGCTTGTTGTTCAACCACATTGCGCTTAAACTGTGTAGATTAACTATTAGATTCATGTGGGATAGAGACACATGACCGTTTAAAGTTACTTACGGAAGTGGATTTATTTGTCCGCTCGATGTTTCTGTTTTGTTTTGGTTTTGTTTTTTTTGTTTGTTTTGTTTTTGTGTACTTTTTGTTGTTTATTTTTTGTTTTTTCCCTCTTTGTTTTTGTTTTTGTTTTTTATTGACTTGTTACCATGCGTAATTACCTCATATATCTAGTGGTGATATCAAGAAGACACTGTCACTCGTTAGTCAGACCGCCGACTCCATTTGTGACGGAGATCTGGTGGAAAAACTTATCAGGCAAGGAGGCAACTGGTCCATGTTACCCATGCAGGTACGACAATTACCGTGCAATGTGGAGCATATCTAACTTTTGCCTTCTTGATATGGGTTTTATTACAATACCGCTGTTGTTGTACATTTTACTAACTGTTGCTCCCAGTAACAACCACTGGGAGGTAATCTGCATAGCAGGTGCAGGAGAAAGGCCAGTGATAGCGGAGCACGCAGAGCGTAGCCCCATAATTATACAAAATGGTAGTAGTATCCCGTCAAGCCGAAAAAATTTGGACTTATGACCGTACGGGCGTCCGTACATGGTGCTACTTTTAACATGCGTGGTCAACTGTACCGTGGGCACGCCAACGCCACGGCTTTGTCCAGTAGTCCAGTAGTCAGTGCACTGGGCTCCGCGGCGGACGATCCGTGTTCTAGTCCTGGCCGGGGCAAGGCGTTGTGCCCTTGAGACGTGCGGGAAAAAAAATGCGAGCTCCGCCTTTAGGCTTGGCTAAATCTATATATTACGAAAACGATCCCAGACGTCGGGCAAAGATTTGAAACATAGCGAAGATTATGAATTCCTTGGTTTATGTTGCCCGGTCAACCCTTTACATCCTAACATAAGGATTCATATTCTCCATACATTTCCTGAGATGCTGATGAGGAGAATTTGTGTAGCAATCAAAAGCTTTTTCGGTTGGGGTTATAAATTTTCGTTATTCTCATGACCGTAATATTTGATTCAGGGTTGATATTGATAGGAGAAATTATATATTAAGCTCAGTTATTTACGCATTCTAATTGGTTCTCACTTATGATCTACTGGAGGACAGACGCATAGATGACGTCATCATTAAAACTTTTTTCCCCGTATATTTTAATTATTTATTATAAAATAATTATATAATAAATAGATTCCAAGTTACCGTGCGTCTGTTCAGTAATAGATCACAGAGGATGTCAAAATGTGGTAAGAACATCAGTGACACACTCAGCTGCGCCTCGTGTGCCACTTTTTTGTTCTTACCACATTTTGACGTCATCTGTGATCTATTACTGAACAGACGCACGGTAACTTGGAATCTATTGGTTAAATAGATGCTAGTTACCCTTTGGGGTTAAAGGGTTGCAGCAGAGGAGAATAACACAACATTCGCTGTCATACTTAGTCTTACTCAATAATTCTTTTAAGTGTTGAAATTAGCATCCAAGTGAAAGTCTCGTTTTACCTCAGTGTTGATTTAGCGTTGTTAAATTCTTTTTAGGCCATGTTTTCGTGTGTGATCCCATCGACCTTGATAAGCGGGGGAATGGGTCAGAGGATTGAGTTTCCTCAGTGGTTGGGTAAAAATTCCAAATATGGCAGGATGGACCGCATGCTACAAGAACTGAAGGGTCACATGAGATTAAGGTAAGGATGTTTTTGAATTGTGCTTGGGCCAAGGAAGCGTATGTCGATCGAGTTATCACAACAAACAGTCAGAATGAGAAGAAAATAAGAATCGAGGCAGCCAATTAGATTAGAAAGTGAGACCCGGCAAAATTACTGAAGTACGGGAAAACGCAAACAGCTCATATCCCTTCACACCAGCAAAATGTGTCGAAAAGCAGATTTGACTGAATGAGAATCGGCAACAGAAAACTGAAAAACTAAATTGTTTGCAGGGTTTAAGTGATCCTTAACTTCTCTTCTCATTATGTTAAATTTGAGGGCGACAAATACTAGTTTAAGTATTTTCGATAAAGAAGACATGTTTGAACTGTTTTTCTTTTTTGCTTGTTTGTTTGTTTTGTTTTATTTTAGCTTTAAACTGTGCTTTCGCGTTGGTGTGAACGGCGACTAAAACACGGCCTGATTGTATTGGGTGGAAATGATGTGGGTGGTTGATATTATGTTTGTTTGTTTCCTTGCTTTTTTGAGCAAACTACATTCAGCATCAAGGCAAAGCTGGTGTAATTTTGCATTACTTTAGTCATCCCACGAAATATTTTCAGAGACGTTAATTTTCAACTTGACAGTGTCATGAACTTTTGATATAATGAATTTTAAATAAAAATGATTAGTCTTAAATTTGTCTCGCTATTATCATCAGTGGTATCGTTATCGTTATCATTATCATTATTATTATTGTCATTATTATATTTATGTTTAGATAGCACTATAGTAATATTAATTTCATGTGCATCAATATTTTGTAGCACATCTGGGAGCAAGTTGTCTATGAACATGGATTACATTCCTCATCTCAGAAAAGTCCTTACCAGGCCCCTTATGACTCAGGTATGTTCGACATAAGTTTGCATCTGGAGTGAGCCTGCTCGCCAATCAATATATTAATCGATTAATCAATGGATAGATTGATCGATCGATCCGGCAAATTATCGATAATTTTTTTAACACGTTATGTTTTAGTACTGTTATGTCATCACTGTTTATTAATATGATGAGAACATACCAATTTGCATGTTGATTTGTAGACTCAAAAGGCTTATCTACTTGATCTGTATCTTTTAATTTTCTGCCAAAAGTTTTAGTCAGGTGATTATCAAGTCATTTTTGTGGAATTTGCCCCTTTTTTTCTCTTTATTTTTATTTTTTTCGCTTTTTATCATTGGCCATTGGCTGCTAACATGGGCTTCCTTGCTAAATTCAAATCCCGTTTCTACGCTTAGGAATCAGACCAGATTAACCCTGGCGTGTCCAGGGTCATGCAAGTAATGGAGAACTATGACTTAACCAAAGAAGATTGGGATTCTATCATTGAAGTTGGTCAATTTGAAGGACAAAGGGATCCAGTTGCGTCAATTCCATCAAAGGTATGGTGTACATTCTTGTTGTCCACAAGAGCATAGTGGATTTTGAGAAAGAAGGTGCAGGCTTGTTTTATTCTGGTTCGCGAACAAAACACTTGGGTCTAGATTTCAATTCTGGAGTCGTCCGTGATGTATTACATGCAAAAACGAGTAATTTCTTGCTTCTTTATACGGCTTCCAGTGGAGATTCCCTGTGTAAAACTGTTTCAGCTTCTTCTTTAGCTAGAGAAAATCATTTTGAATCGCTTTGATCCCTTTTATGAAATTTCTCTGTAGGTGAAAGCTGCATTCACGCGCACCTACAATAAAGAAAGTTTCAAGACACCTTACGCCATCCGCGCAGCGCCAAAGAAGGGACGGAGAGGCGGCGCAGAGGACGAACAAATGATGGAGGAGGCGGGCGAGGGAGATGCGTCAGCGGTAGAACCACAAAATGACGACAATGATGACCTGGAGAATAACCCCATGATAAAGGCGTCAAAGAAACCAGCCAAAGCAGCAGCAAGCGGTAGGAGTAAAGGCAGAAAATCAAAGGAGTCTGTTAAGAAAGAAGCGCCAACATCCAAGGGAAAAGGACGAGGGAAGAATAGGAAATGATCAGTTTGTGCAGGGAAGCGCACCTTCATCGGGGAAATAATCGTGGGACTAGTATATCATAGAAATATAATAACATCTATGAGTGGATGAAAAATATGGAAAAGTTGAAAGAAAACATGACAAAGCCATGAGATATCCAATACGTTGTTGTACTCATACAAAAATAACATGGCTGAATTTTATAATCGTGTAAGAAACTTTCACTTGTGAAGGTGTTGTGACATATACTATCGCCAATCGTATAATTTGTTTTAATAAAATTGTGACTCGTACACAACGTTGTCTTGTTGGTCTAACATAATATTATTACTGAAACAAGTATGGCAATGGAACAGCTTCCACTCGATCGCTATTTTTTAACCTTTGGACTCTTTATGGTGACTAGCATCTAATTTCTCCCTACAAATTTACCCCTGACTCAAATATTAAGGTCATGAGAATAAAGGAAATGATCACCAACCGAAGAGCCTCTTGATAGTTAAATAAGTTCTCCTTTTCAACTACTTAAGAATTGTGTAGAGAACAGAAAGGAGAATATACATACTGATGTCAAGGTGTGGAGGGTTGACAAGAGATTTACAGACCCGAAGAAAATGCAAGCTCACAGGATGGAAAACTTTAGTGCTACGCCTCTGACGGCCCATGTTTTTATTTTTTGCTAAACTCCCAACGTTCAAACAGGGCATGTGATGAAATCTTAACACGTGATATTATCCATGTACTGTGACGAGAATCATGATTGACAATCAGGAGCAAAAATGTTTCGGTATCAGTCCCGGCAACCGCTTGGTCTTCATAACTCGTAAGGATCAGCTGAAATTAAAATAAGAAAATAAAAATAAACGAGAGCGATAACATTTACGTTTGTTCTCTCAGTTTGTCTTAGTTTTGTTTTGTTTTGTTTTTTTCTGTTTATCTCTGATGGTTGGTTTGTTTGTTTCCGGTATTCGTTCTTTACTTTTTCCTCAGTTCCTTATGTTTTGTTTACATGCTGAGAAGGTTAGAGCGAAGCGAAGTAGGAGTCCTTGCCACTTTTTTTTTTTTGAGGATCTCCATGAATTGATGGCTTTAATGGCTAACGGTTAAAATTTTGGCCATTTACAGCTAACGGTAATTTCTTTCCATTGCTTTTAAAAGGAAAAGTTTTACGGTGAACATTTTTTACGACTATCGGTAAAAGTTTGTCAATTTTCACGCCTAACGGCTAATTTTTTTGCCGTTTTACGGCTGACGTTTAACATTGAGGAGACCTTTTCTTTTTTTTTTTTATTAAACAATTTCCTGTCCAAGTCGCTGACGTCCAAATAAGGTCGTGGTGTAAAGATGGTGGAATGTGCAAGGCATTGCTCAATCCATCTTAGTTATACACCACTGTGACGTTAAAAATCCACTGCTTTCTAAAGACTTTGAGGTGAATATTTATGAGTCCATGTTCAAATACTGCAAGTCGTCCTTTTTCTTCTTTTTCTTCTTCGTCTTAACGAAGTTCACGCTCGCTTGGAGAGGAGTATTACTTGCACATTGCCTCCAAGCTATCATATCAGCCGAAAACACGATTACTACTAAGCAAGTCACTTGGTCGAACAGAAATTTTCGTTAAGTTATGTATTTTTACCATTTCTAAGTGAACATCTGTACACCTCCACTCTGAGACAGGGTTTACCGTACCACTGGACTGGATTGATTCGTAAAAATCGAGTTGTCACAGAGGGTTCTATTGTATTGGGCTTGACTAGTATTGGATGAGAACGCCCTCTGAACACCTAAAATGAGGTCAGATGCAAGATTAGAAAGGAGCGTACGATCTAGCCTAAAATTGGGTATTTTTGTCTAGGCGTAATAAAATCCAGAGCATAAAGCGTGCATAAAGCAAACATAAAGCGAATTTTTTTTTGCACGTCTCAAGGGCACAACGCCTTGCCCCAGCCAGGACTAGAACCCGGGTCGTCCGACTCGGAGCCCAGTGCACTGACAACTGGACTACTGGAAAAAGCAGTGGCGTTGGCGTGCCCGCGGTACAGTTGACCACGCATGTTGAAAGTAGCACCTTGTACGGTCGCACGGTCGTACATCCAAATTTTTTTGTCTTGATGGGTTACTACTATTTTGTTAAATAATGGGGCTACGCGAGCTCCGCTATAAAACCTGCGAACATCAAAATAGTGGCGCGGCTCAGCTCTGATTTGTAGTAAGCGAGAACAATCATGGTTGCGTTTTCTCGCCTTTTATATCAGTCTTTCTGGTTTATATAATTACTTGGAGTTTTAGTCGCGTAATGATGATATCAACCTTGACCCTGATTGGCTGTTGTGATTACTTTGGTTTCGGTTTTTTGAAACTCAACCGAAAACTTTTCTATTCGAGTGTCAAAAATAATCCGGCATTCTTACAGTTTCACCTCAATTTCATACTGTAATTAGTTAATTAAACATGCATAATCTTTCTACACCAAACCATGCTACGTCAAAATCCTGAATCGTGACTCGGCACAGAAAGACGGCTATCTGTTTATCTGTATCTTCTTTAAGTTCTCAGATCAATGGCTGGTTGCAACTTTTACCTTAACATTGATAACCCGTTGTCTTTATTTTTGATTTGGTTTTACGATATTCAATCTAAGAATGCTCTATTCCCACAAAGGTCTTTGAAGCGAGGTGTTTAATACACAGGTAGGGATCGCAGAATCGTTCAGATCACATCATTCCAACTACCTTAGTTCCTAGTCCATTCTCGGTGTAGTTAAACCACGTGATACCATCCAGGCTGAAACTCAGAGTAAAGGTGCGCACGAACCAATACTTAGCCTCATGACCCTGAGTGGCCAAGCCTCTTATTTCGTCCACGTAACCTAAGTCTATTTGAAAATATGGGTCGTCGTCATCGCTGAAAGATGAGGAAGTATGCATGTTGTTGATACTCACCAAACGAGAAACAGAGGGAAAAGGAAGAATAAAAGCCTGCGGTGAACACAAAGAGAGACCCACATCCAAAATTTTCCCCTTCAGGAAAGCAGCCAGAAAATAGAGGAATTTAAAGAGTCTATTGAAATATTGGATCAATATCAGTATCTGGGCAACTGCCCACCTACCCCTCCCCCAACCCAGCATTAACCCTAACTTGTTATCAATTGACCGTTGTTGAGTTAGGGGAGGGGTAGGTGGGCAATTGCCCAGATACTGATATTGATCCATATTTGTATGCGTTGTATGTATGGATTCACAGACGAAATTAAAGTCTGCTTTGGCATCTCAGGGATAGTTGCAATATCAACAAAAGTTAAGTATAAAATGGTACTTCGCTGCACGTTCAACTCGATATTTCATAAAAAATAATGTAAAAAAACGAGTTAGATATCGATAAGAACACGATATGAGAAATTATACATCTAAAAGCAACCAATAGATCATTTTGTTTATCTTATGAAGACAACCGATCTCAATCCGAGAAAATTTCGATTAACGGCGATGGATTGACAATGGTAAACGGTATGTTATTCATTCATCAACCTGAAAAAGTGTCGCGAACGGTGACTAACGTGTAATCGTAGCTGATTGTCCATACCACTCGCACAAAATTATCATAATTTTATACGAGTGCCTTTACGGTTTTTCTCAGTGTTGGAAATCCTTGTAAAATATAGAAGTTTTTCAGTATTCAGTATTAAAATTTCTGAGAAATATCCCTGCCCTTCGGAAGAGAAAGAACTTTAATCATACTCTTTTGGACACCAAGCACTTGTTCTGTTTCGAAGCCTTCCATATGATGCCGTATAACTGTCGCCCAGTACAGAGCTGCTGATGAGTCTAGAGTCGCTCAATAAACCGGTCTGTAAACCATAACTGCAGTCTAAAGGTTTAAGAAAAAGCTACGACATGAGTTTTTAACTGAATGCTTGTAACCAACGTACAACGCCGAACTTTCCACATCGCTCAAAGCGAGGAGGAGAAAAAGTTCTTAAAGGAAGGAAAGTTGGCAACTAGAGCAATCATTTGCCGCGACAAGGGACTAAAGATCTAAAGGTCAGCTTTAGAAATACTTTCAGGTGGCCAATTCAGATTATCCACTCTGTAACCAAAACCAAATTACCTTGCAATCTGAGTGAGGACCGACAAATAACATTTTTTGTTAGCGCTAATTTCCGCTCTGCACGGAAAAAAAAAAAAAAAATTCCAGAATTGGTGTATAACAATTTCACTGAGAAAAGAACCGAAAATTTTTATAAGAGGACATTAAGAGGTGATACAATGTTTTACCAGGATCTGGAAATGTGTAAACTCGTTTGAAGGCGTCAGATCCTTCGGCACATTTCCTGCCTAATGCCGCCACCTCTCCTTTCGCCGGTGCATTACCGCTGACAGACTGCAGGCACAATCCTCCAGGACTGTACTTGATTGCTTTCCCATAAGCCATTCCACTGGTCTTTTGAAATCTATTCCGAAAACAAAGCTTAAATTATTATGATTCATCTCGGCTCTGAGAGAACTGCTGTGTACACTTGCTAGTTCTTTAAGGGAATCAAAGGTAATAGCATATTACTGGAGTGACGTCTATGCAGAGAATAAAGCGCCAAACAAGAAATATTTCATCCTTTCTCATTGGTTGGGTATTAATTCTTTTAAGCCGTTGCAGAATGAAGTATTAAAATTTCGAAGAGTAGCTACACGGGGGAATGTCACCTCATAAAGAACACAGTCAAGGGATCTTGACCAAGTGCAGTAACGAATCTCATTAACACGCTTCTGAGAAAAATAGTTGACACTGTTGGTTTTTTACAGTTCACCTTAAAACGCTGCTTATATCGAGGAGTATGACCAAATCTGATAGGTTTTTCTTTTAAGCTAAAAATAATAATGCGTCAGTATCATTATTATTTGACCCTTATGATTTGACTAACATCTAACTTCTCCGTACAATATCACCCCTGAATCACACTATAAGGTCGGGAGAATTAAGGAAATGATCACCAATCAAAGAAACTTGGATATCTGATCAAATTCTCCTTGTCAGCATCTAAGGAAATGTATAGAGAACAGTATGGAAAATATGCATATTGATGATAGGGTGGAGAGGGTTAAGAAAAGAGTGCAGTAATCACCTGTGTATCTGACTATCGCAAGCACTAAACGACAACCCGACAGGGGTCCCCTGAGTTGGTATGCTGTCATTTTTCAATGGTTTGACACACATCTCAGAGCACGCGTGCTGAAGGGAACCATCCTTGAGTAGAAGAAACCATGTCGAGCCACTTGTACAGTCTGTGTCGAATATTAGGATTTCTAATTCATTGACTGCACACGAGTGGGATCTGGGACTGATACACAATCCATTCGGGCTTCTAAGGGGACTGTGCTTTGGGACATCTGAGGAAACACAAGGTTAAAATAAACAATTTTTGGCTATGCACCATTAAACGACTTAAATATACATCATTCCAGCCAGGCAGCTGACAGTCCATCCAACCCTCCCTCCTTCTCTACGACCATCCATTATTTTTTCTCTTTGTCTGTCTATCAGTCCGTCTGTCTGTCTGTTCGTCTGCCTGTCTGCCTTTCTGTCTAGCTGCCTGTCTGCCTCTCTGTCCTTCTGTCTGTCTGCCTGCCTTTTTGTCTGTCTGTCTGTCTACCTTTCTGTCTGTCTGCCTGTCTGTATGTCTGGCTGTCTGTCTGCCTGGCTGTATGTTTGTCTGGCAGCCTGCCTGCCTGTCTGCCTGTCTGTTAGTCTGTAATTTTATCCTTCCGTCTACTAACAGTTTAGTCATGGGCTCAAGATTTCCATTACGTAATAGATGACGAGGGCGAGGCCCGAATCAACCATCATGCTTACTGAGAAATCAAGAGCCAATCATTCAATTGTCTTTGTACAAATCTACTAGTCCTTCAAAACTTATCAACGAGACAGGCTCATGTAAACTGCATACTTTTAGGCTCCTCACCTTATTCACAGCCTATCACGGAATGGATGGCAAATACTCGAGCCAATCAGATTGCGTCTTTTGTGATACAACGGTCGTAACTTTATACAAATAATGATTCAGTGAAAATCTCGTTCCATTTGTGATAACGGACAGTGGAAGTTACAAAGCTGAGCATCGAGCTAAATGAATACTTATCAGGTTGTTGTTGTTGTTGTTGCTTTTTTCAATAACGTGATGATTTTCGAAATTTTTTAGCCCTGTAGTAAAGTTATAGAACGAGCGCGATCGATATATCATCAGCTAAGAGCAGGTCTGATTTAGGCAGAAAAAGTCCAATAAGACAATGAACAACAGACCTTACCATCACATGGAGGCCATGGCCTGCACACGAGAGTTTCACGCGATGGTCCTAGCTCTGAGCAGTCTTTCCCACCATTTGCAGGCCGTGGGTTGTTGCAGTACCTCGCTCTGACTTTGTAACCGGTTGAACAACTTTTGCTACAAGCGCCCCATGCTGACCAAGTGCCGTAACCACCGTTCACTTAAATAACGATATAATATAAGAAAATAAAGAACTTTTATAACTCATAATTCTTTTACTTCAGTACGGTATATGGGTACCACTAATTATTTCTTCCAGGCGATAACACTTATACATGGGTGCAGTTTGAAGTAGTTCTTTTAGAAGAGAGTAAGAAAACACGTGCACTTGACTGATAGACAATAATTTAGCTTCCTTTACCTGGTAGCGGTGTCTCAATTGGGCAAATGTCATCTGGTTCCTTGTAATCTTAAGAGATATCAGATTAAAATTTAGTTCTGCATTGACGAAAACGCACCAACACACGTTTCCTAATAAATCACGAATCTCCGCAATCACATCCACAGGACAACCATATGAACATATATGAAGACCTTTTCCTCTAACGAAACAAAGATCATAATCACGAGTTTCCAGTTCCTTATTCACGTGTTTCCAGTTTCTCAGTGTAACGCAACAACAACAAGATGATTCTCTACAGTTTCCGATATTCATGAACGAAAGAAATAACCTGTGTTCCTCTTTGATATACAATAATCCTAGTATGATATTAATATCAATACTTAAACAGAGTTTCCGTTTCCTTATTCACGTGTTTCCGATCACCTAGTGTAACGCAACAACGACAAAATGGTGGTCTACGGTTTCCGCATGCATAAACGTAAGAAATAACCCGTGTTCGCATCTGGTATACAACAATCCTAGTATAATATTGATATTAATTAATACTTAAACACTAAACCTGCCTTGTCTTAGCTCCTTCAGCCAGTACCACTTTCTTCTGGGAAAGGCCATTTTGCCATAAATCCAGGGAGAAGAAAGAAAAGGCCACTTTTGTTGTGCTACAAAAGTCCCCCAGGGTATATGAACAACAAACGAGTCACTTGTAGTAAGCAACGCCAATTTATTTCGCTTGGGCAGCCAAGGCATTCGGTTACTTATTGCAAATTCTCCACTAGACCATTCATTAAATCGTTTCACCATCATGACGTCTGTTTGATTGGGGAAGTTTCCAGTGAAGGTGTAGTGATTCGGAGCTTGCCAAACTCCACCCCAGCTTCCAGGCTGATTTGCATCGATACGATACAGAAACGGGCTATTATTGGTCGAATCATGCTTGATGACGTCAGCCTTTCCTAATATGGAAAAGTCAGCCCATCTGAGTCTACTGGCCTTTGCATATGCATTTCGTTGGAGGACTGTTCTTTTATTCCATCCCTTGTTGGTAAGCGCTTGTATCTATGTGTTGTAAAGTGTTAGATAAAAAAGTAACATCCCTGTTGCTTATTTTGATCTTCCATTCTATTTTTGGTGGATATAGCAAATGTAAAAGAAGTTGCAAATCTGAAAAAAAATCGACAGCTCGTTCGATTAAGGTAACTTCGTGACGTGTTACCTTCAGGTAAAACAGACCACCAGGATATAGTATGCAGGCACGTCCTTATTAATATTCCTGTAGGATGCGGGTTTCCTCACCCGCAGAAAATTAACAATGAGTTAGAGAGAGATTTGCTGCGGATCTGGCTCTAATTATATGCAAGACGCCTTGCACACCTCTCATTTGCTTGCGATGCTCAAGGTCTGATATTTTCCGCGGGGAAAGAAACTCTCATGCTGAAGCACTAGTGATGAGGGTCTGCTCTCAGGTGAATCAAAGAATCCCCGACACTAGTCCTGATCTGTGCATTGATCAAATTATTAAAATTAATAAAAGTTGGAAAGTATAAATTTACCAATAAAGTCCAACCCCCGCCAAACCTTCTGGATTGATCACAAATTGTTGTGACCGGCTCCTTGCAGGGTCCATCCAAATACAGCCGGTAGACTCCATCACGTTCAAAACCATCCTCAAAATACTGCTTACAGCTAACTGTGACCCAAAATCACAACAAATAGTGAGAAAAATGAAAAAAAAACTGAGACTTCCTTCAGAGATATTGATATTAAAAAACCCAATTGATTTTAAAGAGACTTAAAAGTCTCTTTCGAGAGCTGTTTGACAGCAATCACTTTCTTAGAAAGCTTCTGTCATAGTCCAGCACAGGTTAAACGCCACCAATTTTTTGTTTAAGGTTCGCCGATACTCATTTATACTTCTAGGTTGAGAGGGGAACTGTATGAGCCAAGAATGTTGCCCCAACAGCACACCACACACCACAGTGTTTCAAACCGGGCCTCTCTTTGCAGATTCCAACCCACTTACGTGGAAGGCACTGTATCGTTTTTGTTGGCCTCTTATGAGTGAAGCATTTCAATAAAAAGTTACAGGAAGCGAAAAAGGCTCAAAAAATAAAAGATGAAAAAGTAAAAGAAGAGAAGGATTGGCTACTTCCCTCGCCTGCAACGCAGGTGTCTTATTTGGGAGAGTTAATGCTAAGAAGCTCGCGATCATTTATTGAACTGGCCATGTTTGATTTAGACTTAGAGTCTACGGCGGGGGGAGGGGGCGGGGGAAGGCGAAAAGAACGATTCTCACTGCTCCAGAGCCCTCGTCCCTCCTTCTTTTAGACCGTTGTTCACCCCAACCTTCCGCTGCAATCAAAATCAGTGATGGCAGCTGTAATTTTCACCAAGATAACACTAGACACTCGCCAGCCAAAATTACGCCTGCTCCGCAGGCAAATACTTCCCTGAAAGGAACTCGCGAAATCTGGCCATTCGTACCCCCGTTTGTTCGCAGGTACAGAAATCTAAGAATACTTACCATAGCACTTGGTTTTATTGCAAGTTGACATCTCAATGGTTTGTCCTCGGCAGTCGCCATCACGAATACATAAACGAACGCGATACCGCATTCCCTCTCGTCCGCAGTATTGACTGCACGCTGACCAACGAGACCACGGGCCAAAATCTTGTTCATTACCTTCTGCAGGAAAGGGAAAACCTAGTGGGTTTCCTAGCTGTCATAAGCCTCCTCATGAAAACGATTCCCTGTCTGCAGTGAATTATATGTATGGTGGTATTATTTTAGTCCTCTTTTTATTTGTTTTTTTTTTTAAATCATGCATTAATATTCTAAGTAACGAACAACGAATTCATTTTTTTCAAAAGAGAAACGCGGAAACGAAATGTAATTCGGAATTTATTGGCCTAAATTCTATAAGATTTTTTTTTACTTAACTTCTTTTCCTTCAGCTGACACAATCACAACATGAGCAGCGTGTCATTTATGTATGACGCCAGAAACTAAATCAAGCTAAGTTCAGTTTGGTGGCTATAACACAACGGTCAAATGTCGGGCATATAAAAGAGAATCAAGTTCTCTAGCCGCTGTGTCGCAAAACAAGTGAAAAAAAAATAAAACGTTAATATAAGTCTAAGAAAGAAAGCAAAGGTAGGAAGAAGCTAAGCTGGAGACCATGACTAACTGAATTTTGTTTTTGTTTGTGACTAGCGTGAGACAACCTACTTCTGAAAGCCTGAAAGCACGCCACCCAGTCATTAAAACCTTTGACCGCTGTGTTGGTGGCTATAGCTTTTAAGTTCCTCCAGTTCTTCTTCGTCTTTACAGATAAGCGAAGAAGAAAAACCTCTGGGCGACACATTGCAAACAACTGAATGCATAAACATCTTGCCTGTCACCATGATATATCATAATTCTGGACAAACTTGCTCGTTCACCATGGAAAAATTCGTATGGTAAACCTCAACTGTTAAAATTCAAAGCAGGTTTTGCTATTAGAAATTTTTGGGTCATAGCTTCCTTACAAATGCTAACAAACAATGTGTACTTGACCCGAAAAATAATCATAATTAACCTATTATCTTTTTAAAAGACGAAATTATTTCCTGATTAAGCCAAAGAGTGTTTAAAAATAATCAAACAAACAAACAAACATTTTTACTTACCCGTTGTCGCTAAAATTGTGAGGATCCCGGACAATAAAACAGGTAACAAAACCTGTGACATATCTTTCGTCTTACGACAAGCTATCTCGAGTGTTTAGATGAAACTACGTGTTTATCATTGAAAGAAAGCTAAGTGAGCGTTAATTACAGAATGCCAAAGCGGCTTTTGCTAGAATTTTCGAGTAGGAAGTGATTGTCTGTAAAATAGTCCAATAGTTCCCTAGTACATGTTTTTTTTTCCACTGAATTCACCCCTTTATGACATCATTTCATTAGTGACTTGTTTTTGCAATTCAGTAGTAAAGTCAATGACTTTGACGTGACAATGACATGAACTCGACACTTCTTGTATCGTGTCACTGGCTGCTAAATTTTGCTGGTGGAAAAAGAAAAAACGTTTTCAAAATGTCTTTCTTAATTGCGTACTGATGACTAGCAGTACAGCGGTCGAAACGTCGCGGTCAATGAAATTGATAGCCTTACCCGACATCGTGAGACTGACGATTAAGCATTTATTTTTCTACAAAACCACGATAGACAAAAGAGACATTTTCCATGACACGATTTTAGTTTTTTCTGTATTACTGTATGGCAAGGTATTCCTGAGGTAAATCTCAGTGTTCTAATCGGTTCTTACTCGGTTGGGATTTTGCCATATGGACCGTTTCCACGGAAAGGGTCATAAACCGTGTATTTTCTTCACAAAAGCTGCCAAATTTAAATATAAACAAGTTTGGTCCAAATACCATATAATAAACTACTTACTAACCTTGTTTGCTCGAGCCGTATAAGGGAATGTTGGCCCTTGGTCGTTTTTGTACGGACTTAGCTCGTTCCGCACTGCCACGATATCGGACCTCGGGTGAACAACAATTGTAGTTGTTTTATCCCAGGGTATTGAGAAAACGACTTCTTAGTACTTTTACCGTTTTGTATCACACGTTACGCAGACGTTTCCTCTGTACTACCTTTCAACCCGATAAGCTCCCAAGTTGTAAAAATTTACACAACTAGCATAACTTTTCTAACGACGCGCACGAAATCTGATACATGTACGCCTTGGCACGTCTACTACTTGCACAGCGGTAAAGCATTAAAGTATTTTGTTGTCTACAGCAATTACTGGTAAATTTTTAACACTCTCGTCAATATAAACGTCGTCATTATCCACTTCACTTTCATTATGATCATCAGCAGCATTGCCATTACCATCTCTAACAGTTGCTCGTTTCTTCCTTCAAAGACACCTGTGGTGCAGTCTGTTTCAATAAGTCAGCCCGTTGCTAAGGTGAAAATACTTGGAGTCTGAAAGCAGGGTTACTTGGCGTCAAAGTGGCCACTTTCTTCATCGCTGAGAAGGGTGTCTTGCAGGTTTGCTTCAATTTTCCCGCTCTTGACTCTATTTTAGCCACAGCCAGCACTATACAGCTCTGAATGTTTCTATAGCTAAACATCATTGCTATATTTACATGGAGAATTGAAATGTTTAAAGTAAGCAAAGAAATATTAACCGCATAACATCTCCGCGAGTCACATTCCAGTCGTTTGCACAAAAAGTCTGGTAAAACTGCAGAATGCAGGGCCACTTATTTACATCTTGTTGAATCACAACACATGCTTTTGAATTCTGCCCCGTTCTTCATAGTATGCCGATAAGGTGAACTTCGTCATTGTGTAATATCATTGCTCTCATAGCCGCACTATCTGTTGAATAGTCCATCTTTTTTAACACAACTGGTTGTAAGTATTGTGCACTACTTTTTGAATGGTCAGTTAATCCATAGGTTCAATGAATAATTCTTAGTCGTGCCATTATTCAAAGGATTGGCATCATTCCCAAAATCGAACTTATGTTCCATATTATGAAAAGATGCGCCACCATTTTTTTCTGTTATTCCAATGCCGTGATCAGATCCTCCACAAGTTCCTCCTCCTCCACCAACCATCATGACGGATCCACCGCTTTCCCAATCACACCAAAAGCCAATTTTGTCGGAACTCTGCAAGGGGCCGTCACATTTTGCTTGTTTGAATCCGTAGGTTGTCTCGTTAGGCCATCCATAGTTAACCTCACAGTCGTCTTGACAACGCCTACGGGCCCAGACTGCTCCATACCTGAAAAAACCATATTTCAGCATTTTATGTCTGAATGACTTTCCTTCAAGACAGTCGCCCGTGGTTTGTAACAGCGGCGTGTGTAGTGGGTCATCACTACGCGTGATCTTAAATTTTCTGCCGCTGATCAGCCAAAATGCTGGCGATATCATGTCAGCGTTATCAGATGGATCGATGCTGTTGCCTTGAGCTTCTGTGACGTCATACCACCAAGAGCCAGAAAACTTGACCCAGTTTTTCGCATCGCTGTTTGAGAAACGAGCAATAAGAATCCAACCTGTGCCGTCGGAGGTCTTGTCATAATAAATCTTTAAAAAACAAAACAAAAGAAAACAGCAACAACAACATTTGAGAATCAGGTATAAAATACTCCACTAACAGAAGGGGTGTTTGATTGATTGGTGCGACGGGGTCCTGTCTCTCAAAATCCACGGGCGTAATCTTTGGAATGGTAGAACGGGTTTCAGCGAAAAAGCCATTACGCTTTACTTCATTTCCTGATTAAAAATGTTTGTTAAAAATTTCTCGTCATCCTCATCGGTTGAGAGAGAAATGCAATTGTCTGGTAAGACAATGAGAGGGAGATAATTCAGTCCAGAGGTAATATAGTACAAAAAGGTAACAGGGCTTTGTAATTTGATTTTTTTTCCGCATATATAAAATTTTTGTTTTGATTAGGCGCGGAATTTTCAGTAACAGTTTTGCGCTTTGGTGTTACTCTGACCTAAAAGTGTGGTAGAATTGGCGCAATAGTTGCAAGAAAGAGGCGCCAAGTGGCTAAAACACCATTTTCGGTGATTATAAATAAGAAAGGAGAATCGAAATTTGGAACAACATTTTAACATTTTAGGTGAAAAAAGCACAAATTTAGAAACTCGGTTTTATTAATTTAGCTTCAAAGAGTTTTACAAAGTATACGAAACAAAAAAAATAAATAAACAAGGTAAAACTGAGAAGAAAGGATCTAGAAACAGTGAAAAAAGAAGAATGGACTTCTTGTTTGTGTTCAACTTACGTCAAATCTTGAATAATTTATTTGCACTGTAAATCTTCCATCGTGCATCGTCGAGTTATTACTGTTTGCCACCCCACTCTGCTCGGTCAGAATCGAAATGTTACTGTGTACTTCCTCTGTTGTTATTTCCGCTGTAAAAATAAATGGATAATTTATTTTCATGTTTTTCCTTCATTTTTTATTTAAAGATCTATCAATGTGTGGTTTATGAAAGTAGATCGATAAACATGTCTATACTTGAATAAATAAATGAATTTCGATTTACTCGGAGAAAACACAATCCGAGTTCTCTCGATAGCAGCCGAACCTACGACCTTCCCATTCGCGGTACCTAGGGTGCTCTACCTTTGAGTTATATAAAACCCAAGGTAAACCAGGCCGTTTAACTACGTCTACGGTAACAAACTTCATGCATGCTGCCAGGATAGGAATCTTGATTTGTAATGCTTCTGGATAATGATGATATAATTGAAGATGGGAATTTTTAAGCCTTGTGATGCATTTTCATTACTATAATCATCTAGAGACATATGTTTTTCGCCTTGTCACGAGTGTGGACTAGGGAAATATTTTAAGTCTTCATGAGGCGTCGAACCTCAGACCTTCAGATTCCGCGCCTCAATGCCATACCACTGAGCTACAGAGACTGTGGTAAGCAAGGCCAGAACAAGGTTTGTATCTAACACGCGTCCTGCACACTGCTATCTAGGATCAGAAACGATAGCGTCATGTTTGTAAATAGAATAAGAAAGAAAGTAAATTTTGAGCTCGGTAAAGAATAGAGAAAGACGTTTTTGTACACGAAGACGTTTTGTGCATTTTTTTTCTTTTTCACACGCTCATGAAAGGACGAAAAATATCTTTCTCCATTTCTTCACCGAGCTCAAATTTACCAATTTTCTTATTTCATAGTCGTTTATAATCAAATTCCATTTCTCCTCAACATCAAGAATAAAAGATGTTTAATGGAAAAGGTACTGGGTAAGCTCTTTATTACGACTAAAACTTAAATTTTTGAGTCCATCTCCCACCTTGTTGACAAAGACTTCCTGTTAGTCCCGCGGGACAATCACAAACAAAGGACATGAATCTCGCAGTCCTGCAAGAGGCTCCGCTATAACATCTGGGGTAAGAACAAGGGTCGAACACTGACAAAGGAAAAACATGAAAAACATGTCATTACATTTAGCCCTTCACTGCTCTTCTGTCATTCCCCCGTTCAGTCATCCTACCTTCTTGACACTGGGACCCAGAATAGCCGCTAATACATTCACATCTGAACGAGTGGTAAAGATCTACACATGTCCCTCCATTTTTGCAACGATTTGGCTCACACTTATCCCGTTCTGAGAGGTAAAAATATACAAATTTACAAGAAAATCCTGACCATCGACTTTTCCTATATGAAAAATGTTACATACGGCCTTAAACTTCATGGGAGGGGCGTAAAAGGTAAGTACATGTATGTGTTATTTACCTGGCGAGAGGTCCGTAAGGTAACAAACTTTGTTCGAGGTCTGGAGTACAACCCGAGGGCAAAGGCACATTTTTTTTCCATAAGAACTGTTACTAATGATAACGATGATGATATTGCTTGCGCTAGTGTGGAAGAGGGCGAGGCTGAGAACGAGGGCGAGGGCGAGGGCGAGGGCGAGGCAGAAAAAGTGTTATAAATGATGCTAATGGTTAGAAAAGAACTTAAACATGGTGAAATCTAGCCTTACCATTCGCATTCCATGACGCAATGAGAGTCTGATTTAAATGTAATCCTGCTGAACTAACTGAAAGAGTAATCACGGTGAGAACAATCAATGTAATCTTCCGCTGATTGTCAACTCAAACCTCTGTGCATAATATGTAATTTGTGATAATGCTAATTAGCATTAATTGCTATATTACCGGCACGTATCAGAGGACTGGTGACCATTCGGGGGATTTTGGTGGGATCAGCACAATCGTCGTCAACAACTGGGGACCATCGACTGCCGACCAAAATCTACCGAAGAGGAATATTGTTTTAACTCTGTTCTAAACACTTTTTTTTTTTAAACAACTCACCGCCCCATTGGTTATTGCTTTTGTCCTTAATGATCAGATGCTGGAAGGATCCAGAAGGGAGTTTTGCCCCCTCATGAAATGGTATGAGCGGAATCTCTGTGGCAAGTATTGTCGAATTACAATCCCTAGCTTGTATCCACTCCTCTTTTGTTATTCCATACACGAGTCTATTTTGGAGAGGACGAACCTCATTCTCTAGATCCAGCGGACTTTTGACATAAGTTTTTCTGTTAGCCCCAACTCCATAAACTGTCTTTGTACTTGTGTCATAGCCCAGAATGCTGAGGATTTTTGCACCAAGACCTTAAGAGCAAAAGACAGTTTAAATACAGTTGTGTTCGAGGTTAATTAAGGAAAATATCAAGAGAAATAAGATTGGAGGAAAAAGGAAAGGTTAATGGAAAATTTTTTTTTGGAATTTTTTTAGTTTTATTCCACCCATGTTTAAACTGTTTTTTTAGGAATTCCCAGGTATTATATGAAGTTGGAATTGTCGTGAACATTGTTAACCCTAGCTCACTTAAAAAACTGTACTTCAATGGCTATTTTTTTTCTTTCCGTTAATGATCTATTAGTGCGAACGTAGGCATAAGAAATGTTTAGATTTTGAATTTTTTCCTGTAAACCCCGTTTTTCGTTTCCATGTTTAAATCTCCGAAGTGGAAATACTTTCTTTGGTTTTAGTTTATTTTTGTTTTGTTTGTTGGTTTATTATGATTATTATTATTATTATTATTTATTTTTTGTGTATGTGAAAATGCCTGAGAATATTTTCCCCCTTTAATAATTTATTGAGGATAGTTTTTCCTCTTTTCTCCTTTTATACATCATCTCTTCATTCCCCCGCCCTCGCCCCCCCCCTTCCTTCATCACGTTACTGGTGGTCCATTCCATAATGAGCTTCTAGGGCGGACGAAGGCTCTCAACCTATGATCTTTCCAAAACTGTTACTAGCAAAATACTGCAGAAAGGTGGTTGTCGCCATGCTTTAGGAAAAAAAACTCGTTTCTGACCTATCCAGTCCATCAGCGACTCAGAGTCCCTCCGTGATAAATAAAAGCAATAATTGACGTTCCGTTCTCGTGGTGAAGTAGACTTTCTGGAAAAAATTTAAAGAAAAATTACCATCAAGTGAGTTGAGTATTTCTAGTTCTGGAATAACGTAACGTGTAAAAACTGAACAAATGTCCACCTTCTCTAGTTTCGACAGTGTTACGCTTTAGTGATCAGAGTGAAGAAAAAATCGATCAGGGGATTAATACCCCTTTCACCGAACTAATACAATAAGAATCGAACAGCAGACTTGAGGGAGAATTTCTTATAGCATCTAAGAAAGGAATGGGTTAATTTGTTCCAGAGATCATGAAGATTGGTTAGCAAATCAAAGTTCTCCAGCAAATGAATTCTCAAGAAACGTCCGAACATTAAATTGAGTCTTACATGATGAAGTGACCACTCCAAAATTCAAGTGGGCGGCATGCATCCTCTAAGCTCCGATGTCCAGCATGCATGCTTGTATCAAAAGTCTACTTCACCCCCAACTCTGGCAGTTAGCTGACATTCGATTTCCTATAGTCCCTCGTTATAGTCTGTTAGAAACGACTGCTTCTCCCTGAAAACCATGTGACTCCCCCAAAATCCTCCTACGTCCCCCTCCTCCCCCCCCCACACAAACACACACCTCCCTAACTCCTAAAAAATGCTTTCTCATGTCAAAAGGAAAAAATGTAACCTACGAGACAACATCGGCGTTGCAGAAAAACACTTTCCTGGTGTCAGGTACAACGAGAAAACTTCTCTTTAACACCGGAGGCGATTCTGTAAATGTCACAAAAAAGATAAAACTGCTTATAATGATCACAAAATCAAGATTTATTTACTTTTTCTAATTATTTCTTCGGTATTCGTTGTATTCTTGGGTGGATAGTGGCGCTGTGAGACAAGTGTCTTACTTAAGAACAGAACAAAGTGTAGAAAACCAATTGAAAACGGCTCTTATCTTAAAAGCTAACCCAACCTCAAAAGGTCTTACCAACTTTTAAATCATCTACTTTCTTGCCGTACAGCTCTATCCTCATACATATGCGAACGAGGAATTCTTTAGCTTCAAAACGCACGTAGCGCGCTGTGATTGGTCGAATTAACCGGTGTTTCACTGCAACATTTGCTACTAGATTTCCAAGGAAAATCTACAAAACAAAAGAAAGTGTAGTGAGAGATAACAATGAAATTTCCTCGAATGAATGTAGATCAGATAACAGTATTATCAATCTTAGATAAAAGAAAGCAAGGTCACCTTAGATTGTCCTACAGACCTAGACTGGACCAACACTTAAATTAACTGAGGATCGTGTGTGGTCTTTGCTATAGCATCTTGAAATGGTTAGACATTTTAGTATTCTCGGAAAAGGAAGATAAACCGTAGACCCCTTCTCCTGCATCTCCTCTCTACTGGATGGTAGGGGAAGTGAAAGAACCCACATTTGTCTCACAAAGAGTTGGGAAAGTAACTCCCAGTGTTATGGTCTTGCCTTGTGTCCCAAATTGGGGACACTTACAAAGTTTCCTTTCAAAAATTGCAAACTGCTCAATGCAGTCTGTTAAAAGTCCTCTCCAGAGTGTTGTAAAGCGCACTAAAGCACAAAAGATTATAGCGGAGCTCGCGTTACCCCGTAATTAAACAAAATAGTAGTGACCCATCAAGCCGAAAAAAATTTGGATGTACGACCCTACGACCGTACGACCGTACGACCGCACAAGGTGCCACTTTTAACATGCGTGGTCAACTGTATCGCGGGCACGCCCAGTGGTCCAGTGGTCAGTGCACTGGGCTCCGAGTCGGACGACCCGGGTTCTAGT